ATAATACGCTTTCTATCCACTTATATCTTCCATGACGTTGCATTGGAAGATGGCTAATAAATTATCTTGCGAGAAGTATGTAATAATTCGTGATACAGCATGTTCTCTCATCGCATATGTACGTTAATAATTAACATGTTACGCTCTACTAAAACTAATAATACTTCTGAAAGTGTGACATCGATATTCTTTTAATGCTTGCTATTATTTCTCTAAACGGGCTTACAGTTTATGACGCAAATTATTGTGGGCAACTGGGCTTTTTATTTAATTTCTTTTTTTTCACGTAATTTCGTGTTTATTTCATGTAAACATTTACATCATACAAGTATATACGTTATTTGTAAAACTATTTTATAAAACATAGAAGTATATACATTTTTTGTAAAATTATTTTATAAAATTTTATAAAATTATTTTATAAAACTATTTACTTTGTTGCCATAAAGGCAGAAAGCAGGCTGAAGCAACAGGAAAGAGGCTTGCGGAATTAAACTTGCCTTACTCATTGATAGTAAGGTCTACAATGACACGTGCTCTGGAAACTTCTAAAATTATAGAAAAGAATCTTACAAATGTGCCAGTTGAAACTGACAGCTTGTTAGTCGAAGGTGCACCTATACCTCCGGAGCCGCCTATTGGTCAGTGGAAATCTGAGAGACATGTGAGTGAAATATAACTTATTATTTGTGCACGTTATTGAATATATTGAAAAAATTTTAAGATTTTAGAAAAAAATTGTAAAAATTTTAAGAATTCTCGCGCAATGCATAATTCTATATCTCTATTCAATCTATATTCCAGTTCTTCCAAGATGGGCCCAGAATAGAGGCAGCATTTAGAAAATATTTTCATCGTGCGGAACCTAATCAAGATTGCGATTCTTACACCGTTCTTGTATGCCACGCAAACGTAATCAGATATTTTGTTTGTCGGTAAGATTTTCTCTTTTACAGAGGGAGTGATTAAATTTAATAATATTCTCTCTATTGTATGCATATATCTTTCGATTTTGTTTTAAGGGCATTACAATTTCCACCAGAAGCATGGTTACGGATATGCTTGAAACATGGAAGTATCACTTGGCTCTGTATTCTTCCCAATGGTAGAGTTACCCTCTATTGTCTAGGAGATACAGGACATATGTTACCACAAAATGTAACATTTAGTTAAAAATGTACGGCTTTTTATATAACATGACATATTTATAAATAATACATTATTGATAAGCATGTGTACATCGATAAGTACTGCATTCCATAAGATGTACAAACCGATTTTGTATCATCTTTTTATCACAGAGATAATTTGCTTTTCACATAGTTTTTACATTGGATGGAAGTATACAATTGTACAAATATGCGAAAGAGAAGCCGAATTCCTAAAAATAATATTTTCAAGTAATAAGTATACGAAGAAATGGATATACAACGACTAAACGGCATTTAAGAAAGTATCATCTCGTGCATCTGAGTGTATATATTTTCCTTCTAGAGCTCAGCTGTAATATCTATTTAAATTATAAAAATCATTAAGTATTAAGGATTGTGGTGTATGTGTATTTTTAAATATACTTGTAGTTTTCTAATGTCATAAAATAAGTTTTATCTTTAATTTTATACATATTTTTTACAATCGGAGATCACACCTTTTTTTGTACAATTCATCATTAGAGTAAGATCAATATTTACGTATTACATAATATAAGAGTGAAATACGGACGTTATATAAAAAATTAACTCTAAATTAATTACATCTAATTTGCTTCAGCCAGTCCCTTTGCCTTTCTTGCATAATACCTTTGTAATGCTGCTTCAAATACTGTACCTACTGTTCTCTTTTCCCAGATGGAAGATCTATCTTTCTTTTCAACATACTTTTCTTTATTCTCAACTTCCTCGCTTTTTGGAGTAACATTGTTATTTTGAGGTATTTCAGTGTCTTTTACATTTTCATCTTTATCCTTGGTGTTTGTAATATTTTCAACCGTGTTCACGTCCTTTTTATCTAATCTTTGTTTCTTTTCTTCTGGTTCTTGCACCTCTATTCTATCGGCTTCCTTGTACACTGGCGATACGACAGTCTCATCTTTCTTCAACTCCTTTTTATTCGTCTCTGTTTCAGAATCAGATTCGTACGTTTCTATGGCTCTCTGCCGGTACTGCCTCGATTTTTTAGTCTTTGTAATTGATTTCTGTTTTTCCTCTGTTTCATTTGCCCTCTTCTTCGTCGTTGTGCTTTCTCCATTTGTGCTGCTTGTTGACGTTTTTCCTTCCCTCTGCTCAGCACTTTCTTTCGCTTTACTGCTTTCATCTTCATTACACAGAGAGAACTGTATATTAATAGTTAATATATATGCTTTGCTATAAATGTAAAAATTTTTTATATTGGTCCTAATAAATATTTCTTCATAGTTAAGACATAGTATATTGAAAACCATCGATTTATTGTTAAAGCACGCAAAATTACTCATAAATGCACGAATATTAATTTTAAAGCTTGCTTTATTAATAGTTAATATATCTGTTTTCGTCCAGAAGTTCAGTATTCTTGTAAAAAACTTCTTCAGTATTAGGTATAGCAACAGCTATGGTAATAATGAAAACATGATGATTTTCATGCGGATTTACATATATTAATAGTTAATATACCAATTCTCGTCCCGAATTTAAGTATTTTTATGTAAATTTTTCAAATATTATTTACTAAATCTTTAGGTCGGTCAGTGTCGCTCGCACACAGGAAGAAGTCTTTCTGGCATGATTTTAGATTATTTTCCAAATTTCCTTTCTTAGATTTGATTAATTTTTTAACGTCAGTTTTCTCAGTGCTACCTTATTAAAGACTAACTAAATCTAAAATAGGAACTCACTGTGTCTGACACTGACTGATCAACATATCAGAAACCGGTTTTTGAATTTTTAATAGTAATGTTTGCGATATGGTGTCTTGTGATCAGGGTGACTTCCTAATTTTCGGGATAATTAATTTTAATTTTAAAGTTTTCTGATACATTAGTTTTCCTTTGTCTCTATTTTGATATTTTCAAAATTTCTTTTCTTCTTTTTTCTTTTTTTCTTTCTTTTATTTTTATCCGAGTTCAATTTTGGCAATTATATTCTCGATGCGGGAAAGCTCATCATGATAAGTTAATTTTATTACATTCTATTTATGTGAGTGTATGTTGTCTTAGAAGGCTCAAAAATGAGCCGAAACATGTAAGCGCGTTTATTAAAAATAAAGGAGTTTTACGCTTTATAGTCGTATTATTTGCGCAACGTCTTCTGCATTTGACTCCTATTGTTCATGTTGTTTCTTCTTAGTTCTAAATCTTTAAGGTATCCACAAATATAATAAATTGTTGAAAATATTTATTATATTTATTATATTGTGTACCTTAAAAATTTAGAACTAGGAAACAACATGGATAATAGGAGTCAAACGCGGAAGACGTTGCGCAAATAATACGACTATAAAGCGTAAAACTTCCTTATTTTTAATAAACGCGCTTACATGTTTTGGCTCATTTTTTGAGCCTTCTTCAGAGACAACATGTTCTTTCTTCCGGCATAAAATTTAACAAACAGTAAGAAATAAGAATAAGAGGTAAAATGAAAATGTGTGTGATGTATATTTTATCTCAATTTACGAATTATTTCGAAAGCATTAATTATTTATTAAGGAACTTGTTAACTCATTAACATTATAAAACTTTGTACTTATGAATTTCTATTCTAATTGTATGAAAGATTTTCTTATTTTCCTCATTTGCATGTAATTGCATCTTATTAAAATGTACTTAGTTATGAAACACAGATTGTAAATTATTTAATATTTAAAGTATGTTATATCTTTTGTAATGTCTTTTTAATAAGTTTGTTTTAAAACTTGTTACTGAGTTTTATTTTTCTCTATTTCTAAATGAAAGAATTAAGATTATGATTATTATTAATAATTATTACAAATTTTTTTCAGTGTAGTCTCACCCTTGTAATCAACAGTCTGTTCGTACAGATGACGATAAAATCCTGACATGTCTTGCTGCTTTGTCACGTCACCGATAGCTTCCAGTCTGTTCATTTTGGCTTCCTCTTCCTCCATCTTCTTAAATTCCTCCAGCTTCGCTCTGTACGCCGATGTGACAAAACTCTCTTTGTCCGCATACATCTCGCCCTCGGCTTCGCGTTCCTTCTGCACCATTCTCTCTATCCTATGCTCCTGCTCTTTTTTTCTTCGCTCAGCTGTTTTCAGAAGCTTCTGTATGTACTTGGACTTTTTCTCCTTCTGCTTGCTCGCGTCATCCAACTGGCCCTTGCTGCGTTCCAGATCGTCGTATACCTCGTCATACTGATAGATCGTTGGATCTTCATCCAGAGCCTTCTGTATATCGAGTTTTGTTTGTTTCTTCATCCGATTCTTCTCGCCTTCCGCTTTGAGGGCCTTTCTGACCCAGTCGGTGCCATCCTCCTCGTCGGAGGCGTTGTCGTCCCCGAAAACGTTACCGAGTTTTGGCGTCGTACTCTGCTGTTGCTTCTTCGACAAGATGAGACCATACCTTCAACATTGAGAAAAGTTAGTTGAAAGTAGTCGGTGGTATTAAAATCTCGATGCGATACAAGAAACGGCTCGGTTACTCACTGTTTATTAGCCATTGCTAATCACCGTTCTTGAATCACGATGAAATTTAACCTAATCTTCTAACCTAATCCGTGCAAGTTTGTACGAGTCACGTCAAACGATCGCGGTCTTTTCGCGAGTACCACGAATTTATAACGTGCTCTAGAATGCCATTAAGGCTGTACACTTTTAATCTTAGTCGAGATAAGCCGAAAAATGATAACTTTGCAAATGCGATATCGCGTTTATTGCAGGATATTGCCATGTACTTATTACCATTTATCCATTTATCGCGCATGAACCAACGAGAAGTAAGAGAGAAGGACGCTCGTTCGGCGAATGGTGACGTTGCTCTCCCTCCCCCTCCTCATCTCGACTTCGCCCACTCATCTGACCGCTGACGTGCGGACGTCAGCACTGTATATAAATGTGGAAAGATAAAGGAATATCCGTGATATGAACCTTTGACGCTTTAACAGTCTTCCTCGAGGTAGTACAGCCGGGTGTGCGCGAGGTAATAGCGAGAATTTATCCGAAAGAACACGCGAGATAAAGAAAACGGCCTCGCAAATGGATGGCCTACGTCGCGGCGTCGTTATCCTCGCGCTCGTCTGCGCCGTGATTGCTCTAACGTACGGCTACGCGTTGAACGTCGCCGAGCAGCCACGGGACGGCGACTACGTCACCACGTCTTATACGCATTATGAGGATTTGCGGCAATTGTTCGGTTCCCTGGAGGACCGATATCCGAACCTGGCGCGGGTGCTGTCCATCGGAAAGTCGGTGGAAGGCCGGGACCTCCTCGTCCTGGAGATCTCGGAGAACGTTGGACAGCGCAGCCTCGGCGAGCCCATGGTCAAGTACGTCGCCAACATGCACGGTGACGAAGTCGTGGGCAGACAGTTGCTTATCATTCTCGGCCAATATCTCCTGGATCATTATGGCAAGGACGATCGCATCACCCGGCTAGTAAATCAGACGGACATCTACTTGATGCCCTCCATGAATCCGGACGGTTTTGAAAAATCAGTGGTAAGATTCTCACTCGTGCCGTAATAGCATCGAGATTATGAATTTGAAACATTCTTGCGTTTCAGGAAGGTAAATGCGAGTCCAACGATGACTTCTCTGGCAGAGAGAACGCCAATCACGTCGACTTAAATCGGGACTTCCCCGATCAGTTTGAAGGAAAAAGTAACCATCACAGTAAGGGTAGTTCTATTCTCAACGGTCGTCAAAGTGAAACTATGGCTATGATGACTTGGATCTCCAGTGAGCCTTTTGTGCTCTCTGGGAATCTTCATGGCGGTGCAGTAGTTGCCAGCTATCCATATGATTCTGGGTATATTATACAATTGTCATCATGATAGCTGTGTTATGGTTAAATTGTTCCTTACAAAGAAAGTTCTGTCTGTCATCTGACAAGATGTGTTCTTTTAGTATCACAAGATCATGTTGCATAGAGAGTAAAAGCCCAGACGATAATTTATTCAAGCATCTCGCTCATGCTTATGCGGACAATCATCCAGTAATGCATAAAGGTGACGCTTGTCCACCAGAAATATTCCGAGGTGGCGTTACAAATGGAGCATACTGGTAAGAATAAACATATTGTCGTTTTTAGAGTAACATTTGAGCTGAATAATTGCAAATATTAATCAGATGAAGACCAATTTTTTAAATAATTTTTACAAAATTATTAGCTTATTATTGACAGAAATTTTAGAAATTTTTGAATTTGTCGATAGGTACGAAGTAATTGGTGGAATGCAGGACTACAATTATGCCCGATCCAATGCATTCGACATAACGTTTGAATTGAGTTGCTGTAAATATCCATCAGGTTCAACCATACCGGAGCAGTGGCTGTTAAATAAAGAATCTCTAATTAAATATTTTGAGCAAGTGCATATTGGAATAAAAGGTAACGTTCATATATTAATATCGTAGTCGTTTTTATGTTAGACTTCAGAAAGAAATTTTACAGTATATTTATCTTTCATTTGCAGGTTTTGTATTCAGTAAGGATGGTAGACCAATTGAAAGAGCAAACATTGTTGTAGAAGGAATAGACCATAATGTAACAACCACGGTTAATGGCGAATATTGGCGTTTACTGCTTCCAGGAACTTATTCAATTTATTGTGTTGCGTGGGGGTATGTAGTCGTATGATTCTTAAACGTTCACATTCAATATGTCATGCCAGCTGAAGACTATTTTTAGTATATCTGTTTCTATTGTATTTTGTTTTCTATTCAGATACGAACCCAGCGAACCAATAAATGTAACTGTGTTAGAAAGTTCACCGATGATTCTTAACTTTACCTTGAGCGGCAAAGAAGTACATGAACAAGGTAAAAATGACATAAGTTATCCACAAATAATACCAGTTTTTAATAACAGATTATCTGAATTCTATAAGCTGATACTAGATGATTACAATGACCAGGACTACTAATTTTTGAACACTTAAATTACCTAACAACTGTCATGGCTATGTTGTTTATCTAACATCTATGTTTTGTCTAAAATGGTATAAGCTATTACTAACCACATAATTCGTTAATTTGTGTTTTAACATTTGTTTAAATATTTTTTTCAAGTTGTGACAAGTTTCTTTATTAGCAAATTTTAAGTATCTTATAAAAAATATTTATTATTTTTTAAATAATATTAAAGTTTTTATTACTTAATTTGTTTTAGTAAGATTTTTATTTTGTTTTAGCGAATTAATGTTGCAAAATTCGGATGTACACATCTTTAATAATTTGTGACTGCAGAATCTCTTTTTGTTTCCTGATATATTTTGACATCATGTATTCTTAATTATTTTATTAGATTATTATTATACAAGGAAATAGATATAAACAGAGAGTTATACATATATAGACACAAGGTATGGAGAAATGAATTGCATATAGCAGAGAAAAGGAATAAGGATTTTGAATATATTTTTGTCATAGTTTATACCTGAATAAATAAGGAAAATATTTTAACTATATTCCAGTTTGTGACAGAAGGCATATATTTATTCTATCATATACTTTTTATCTTAATATTCTCTTATTCAAACTTATTTCATTAGAATATATGTTATATGTGAACAAACATTCCGTGATTGCATTTAAGATTAATCTAAACAATATGAAATCATGTATGTTCTAACAAAGACAAATAATGCCCTGTTTGCAAATTGGAAAGTAGTATATTACAATATCAATACGTGAATGGACAAATTGATTGAACTGATTGAACATATCGAACAACTTTGCAGAGATTATGACTATATGGATATAAACTTTGAATCAGACTGAAATTTTTACATAGATATAACCCGTTATATTTAATATAGTTTATATTTTCTTTATACATATGTACTTACGAGTACAAGAACCGTGAACTGCTGTATATTTTTCTTCAATGGAAAACAGGCAAAGTATATATATAAATATATGTAATAGATATATATATAAAATATATGTATATAAAAAGTATATATTGATATATATATATATAAATGTAAATGAAGCTTTTTTCAAATATTTTAATTTTTCCTGACAATATTTACTTATTCGACTTTTTGTTTTCGACGAGATTAGCTGAAAAGATTTTGGCTGGAATTCTGTAAATGATGTTTGGAAAAGAGTATAAATATGCATGACAACACGAAACGTTTTGTCTACCTTCTTTCGTACAAAGTAAATATACAAAATGTGAAAGAAAAAAAAAACAGATGTACTGTGTTTTACCATGTGAGATACATAGTACTGCCAATACCCATTCTATTATATTAGGAACTGTACTAATAATGTAGATCTCTGTGTGAAGGCACATCAGTGACCGATATATCATATAATCTGTATAACGATGTATGTTCTAATATTTTCCTTACAAGTATGTATTAATCAAAACTAGAAATAAAAACATTGTTTTCGTCTTGAGCAATGAATATCTTACTCAATACTTATCCTTTTCCTCTTAAGTGTCAAGAGACCACATATATCATTTTTAAACACATCTTATTATTTATCTCATCTTTTTTGTTTTCTCTGTACCTTGTGTTTTATGACATACTCATTTTTTGTTTTGCGTTATTTATAATTTTAAATCTGTGCGATTATACACCAACGTATTTTGTCGTGAACAATGATTGTTTCACTGAAAACTCTACGTTTGATTTTGACAACAATAATGATTATATATTCGTACGATGCAGGAGAAAGTACAGTCGACGAAACGATAAGATCCATCGACAAGTATGGCTTTTACCATACCGTGGAGTTCAAGCATCACAATTACATCGCAATGGAGAAATACCTAAAGGATTTGAGTGCGAGTTATCCCAATATTACCAGGCTGTACAGCATAGGGTCTTCCGTGCAGGGTCGCGAGCTGTACGTTATGGAGGTCACGAAGGATCCCGGCGTTCACAATCCCGACAAACCGGAGGTCAAGTACGTCGGGAATATGCATGGGAACGAGGTAGTTGGTAGGGAAATGCTGCTGTTACTGCTAAGATATCTCTGCGAAAACTACGACACCGACATAAGAGTCACACGGATAGTGGAGACCATCAGGCTCCACGTGCTACCGAGTATGAATCCTGATGGATATGAAATCTCCAAAGAAGGCGACGTTTACGGGACAAAAGGCAGAGCGAACGCGATGAATGTAGATCTTAATAGAAACTTTCCCGATTACTACGTAACCGATGATGTACGTTATCGCAACATATTTTTTATCGATTTATTTATCATCTCGTTATTTCTATTGAAATATATCAAAATAATATTAGTCATTTCATTTTGAATGACACTTGAAAAAGAAGCCAAAGCATTGTATAATACAACTCTCGTTTAATTTTTTATAAGACCTTGGATAAAGAGATGAATATGCTTTTTGGAGTAAAATAATATAATAAGTTATTTGAGCTTTAATTTATCGAATTATTTAAAAAATTAAATATATACTCAGAACTTGTTTTTCACTATAAAGTATGCTGCGAGAAAGTTTATATGACATTTTCTTTTTGTTTAGATTCATCTTAACTATTGATATATAATTAGGAATCATCCTGCATTAACGATTTGTACAATTAAAATAAGTCACGCTCACTTGGTTACATTTTGCAGCTCAATTGGCATCAGCAACCTGAGACTAAAGCAGTGATGGATTGGATAGCGAAAATCCCGTTCGTACTCTCTGCTAATCTTCACGGGGGAGCGTTAGTCGCGAATTACCCTTACGACGAGGGACCAGAGGACTTGGGGTCCAATGTTGCGAATCCAAGTCCGGACAACGATGTCTTTCGGATGTTGGCATTGATATATTCCAATGCACATCCCCGCATGCATCTCGGCCAGCCGTGTCCGCCAATAGTGAAAAATCCGTACGGTATGAAGACGCTCCTCGAGGAGCATTTCCCAGAAGGTATAACGAACGGTGCCGCTTGGTACTCCGTGTCCGGCGGCATGCAAGATTACAATTATGTCCACAGCAATGACTTTGAGATCACCTTGGAGCTTGGATGCACAAAGTTTCCGAACGCTAACGACTTGCCAAATTACTGGCTGGAGAACAGGGAGCCTCTTCTGCGTTTCATTGAAATGGTACAGTTTGTTTAGGAGAAGCTAATAGTAGAAGAAATATGTGTGTTCATAGCGGTCATGTTCAACGTGATAATCTTCATATTTCTTTTCCTTAGTCTCGCAAAGGTATACACGGCATAGTGAGTTCGTCCATTGGCACCCCTATACCCCATGCAAAGATCTCGGTTGAAGGTATAAAACACGATATTTACACTGCTGAAAGGGGTGATTATTGGCGGCTACTGGTACCAGGGCGATATAACATAACTGTCAGGGCAGTGGGATACGAAACACTTACTCAGAATGTCGAGATACCATCATACGGCAACAATCCCGGGGATGGAGAAGTGACCCTGGACTTTACGTTAATGCGTGACGACCCTCTGCATTGGTATGATTATTTATTTAAAGTACGATTCAATACATTTTGCGATCTAACCGCATAATATGAAATTGATATGTACTGACAATCAGTAAGATAAAAAGTTGAGCACATAGTAATTTAATAAATAGACTTCTTAAATTACATTTCAAAATATGTTTCATGTTCGAATTTTTCTCACGAAGATAATTCAAGCCAATTTTAATGAAAGATCACGACGCTGTGTGTTTCTTCAAGTAGTTATATCGTTTAATATTGTATATATGTGTACTTTCTGGAATGTAAAAAATATTAAGAAAATTATTTGTACGAATATCTACCAGGTCATCCGCATATGATTTTGGATTGAGAGTAAACTTGCAGAATGATTACTTAAAAAATTCTGACTTGAACGCTAGATTCAGCCAGTTGGAAAATCATCAGTCAGATACTGCCGAATTTCTAGCCGGTGATTCATTGATCAGCATGGCCATTCATTCGTTGAAAGTCACGCATGATGTGAGTTTGAACGACAATATATTTATCTATTATAATGTTCTGCATTTAATTAAAAATGGTTCAGATGGGGTCACCTGATGAGAATAAATTTCGCATCGCATTGGTGGGAGGATTGTTTGCTTCCCAGCCGGCGGGCAGAGAAATTCTATTACGTTTGGCGACACATATCCTCAAAGGAAATCAAATTGGTAATCCGCCTATTCAGAGGATACTGAATGATGCTGTGCTGCATTTCATTCCTGGTGTCGATCCAGGATTCGATAATGTAGAGGAGACTGAGGATTGCAATCCTATAATCAACGACGAAGTAGGAAATAAGTTATTAGAAGAGAACACTGATATGTCGAAGCAAACAGATAGAGTTGCGAATGCGTTTAAGACTCTGTTACGGACTGAAAATTACGATGTTATTGTGATGTTAGGAGGTGGTGCCTCAAAAATCAGGTAATGCAATGTATGACAATTTATAAGCATAAATCGCAAAGAAATTTAGCACGAAATCCTTAATCAATTTTTGTTCTTCAGTTATTCAGACGACAATCTGAATACGTTTAGAAAGTTCGCCCATGCCTACGAGTATTCGAGAGACAGTGAGACATGCAGCCATCGGTACAACAACAGTACACAACATTTGATGAATTTCATACAACGCGTTTACGGCCCGCCAGTAGTAGGCATAATTTTTTTTCATATTTTTCTCTTTATATTTTTATAATAAAATTCATTGCTAAATTTTATTCTAAATATCTGTGTGTAGATGAGCGTAAGTCTATCCTGTTGTAAGTATCCGCCCGCGAACTCGATCTCCATCATTTGGCGTGAGAATTTGCAATCGCTTATGGAACTTGTGCAGAGTCTCACGACCGGAATCCGCGTGATGATAACGGACAAATATGGTACTCCGCTTCGAGAGGCCAACGTCGAGATTGGAAGAAGAACTTACGGCGTGTCGCACAACATGGCTTACTTCAAAATGATTCTGGTGCCCGGTGAATACACCTTAACGATTTCCTGCGAAGGATACGTTACGCAGGTGCGGAAAGTTTCTGTGCAACAACAAAGCATAACAATTATCGACGTTAAATTAGAACGAGAGAAAACGCCATCGCCTGACAATCATCACAAGAAACCACCCGAGAAACTGAGTTTCGTCAACCGTGCTTTGACCGATTTGAATGCGAAATATCCGCGACAGACGACCTTGCATAGCATCGGCAAAACTGCGAAGGATAACGAGATAATGTGTTTGGAGATCGGTTCTAATAACGATCAGAAACAAATGGGGCGACCTGCCATTGTTTTCTCGGCCGGCATTCTACGAGCGGAACCAGTGACTGCCGGGATGCTCTTACATTTCGCTTCATATCTCTTGGACAATTATAAGCAAAACACTACGATTATGCGTTACATAGATAATTTTTCCATATATATAGTTCCAGAATTCTCATCCGATCCCAACGAGAATACCATCTGCTCGCCGCAGCTGAAAGGCTTGCAGTTTCCGATTCACGAAAAGCTGAGTGAAGAAGCGAAATGGATCGTAAACTGGTTTAAAGATGTAAACGCCGTATTAGCTGTAAATCTCAATAGTGGATCGCGGCATATCGAAATTCCGTTCGGTCGTGACTATGGAAAGGTACGCGAGCGAAAATACGAGAGCGACGATGAGGATTTACTGCAACACTTGGCCTCAGTGTACGCCAATACGAGAGCAGATAAGCTGTCTGCGAGTACAAGATGCGAACAGGATTCGAACATCGGCGATAATAGCGTGATACACTCAGCGCAGGGAATTGGCGGAAAAAGAGGTCATCCCTTAATAGATTATGCCTATTTCAACACGAGCACCTTAATGATGAACGTGTATGTCACCTGCTGCACTACCGATTACTCGATCGTCGTGTGGCAGGAGAACAAAGATAGTTTACTAGCCTGCATACAGGAAATGAAGAAAGGTGTGAGAGGATACGTCACCAATGAGGAGGACGAACCGATTGAGAATGTTGTCTTGTCTTATGACACGTCACCGCATCTAATTAAAAACAGCAAATCAGGCTTCTATTCAATTTTACTGCCTCCTGGAAGTCACAATATAACAGCTACGGTGCCCGGATATCACGCGGAAACCAAACTTGTCTCCACACCCACATTCGAGACGAAGAAATACTTAAGATTAATATTCAAGCTCGTTCGCGATGACAATATCATAGGAATACCTAGACTAGTATTCATTATAATAACAAGTAAGTCAGTTGCGAGAGAGATGTTTAATAAAACTCACAAGATTAATAAAGATTTGTAATGACATAATCTGATTGCAGGTATGATATGTTTCGGCGTTGTGTTGTGCTGCATGTGTATCTGCGCGAGATGTCGAGCTTCGGAAGAGGAAGAGAAAAGCAGAAAGGGATATGCGTTTAGTTTACTGCAGGATGGTGGCAGCTTCTTTGATGACGACGAGAAAGAAATTGAGATATTTCGAAGACCGGTAGACGGTAATTATATCAATATGTCATAATACTCAGCGGGAAGCGTGGAAATAATTTTGCAAATAATCTTGTCATTTTAATCCTGTTCTAATTCTTGTCGTTATCCAGGATATCCGTCAAATGATAATAAAGTTAACACGCCATATTTCGATGACGACAACAGTTCCGAAGATGGCAGCGATTTGGAGTTTATTCGGCCTGAATGGGGTGATACAATACCAAAACAGACGTGACAGAACGTTTTTGTATGCTAAACGATATAAAATTACACAATGCACGCGGTAAATTTAATGGATTTTGTATAGTTTAAACAAATTTTCGGTGAAAGGAAAATAAGGTGAAAGCAATTTTAAAATGCTGAATTTACGAAAGTAAAAATCAGGGTTCAAGTATGAAATATGTACTTATATTTTTATTGTATATTTTTATATTAGAGAGAATCATATTACTTTCTGATGATAATTATATTATTTTATAAATGTATCATATAATTGTTTAAGAAATGGAATGTAATTTTTTAGAATCGTATAAGAAATGTTATAAATACGTAAACACATCAGCAAATTATATCAGGGTTTTAAATGAAATAAGAAAGAGTAGAGAGAGAAAAACTTTTTGAATTGTTAACGTTCATAAGAATGAATGTAAAAGAAAAATATCAGTGTTCAGAACTACTGTATATATTATATTTAGATATATATCATCACGTTAAGAACAAACACGTGAACGTTAAAGTAACGAAAAACATTTAGCGGTTTATTCTTATTTAATGCAAGCTAGGATTTACTTATATATGATAAATTTTTTTTATTTGTTATGTAAATGCTGAAATCTAAGAAAAAGAAGTGTTTTCTTCTCTTTTTCTATTTTCAGTCAAAAATTATACGAAGTAATGTATCCCCCCGAGAAAGAAACATCAAACTTTTTTTTTTAAACTATTTAGATTTCAGCAACATCTTATTACATTTGTAACAAAAAACGAATAATTTTTGCGCATTAATCATAATTTGCGCAAAGATACTTCCGTATGCAGGTCATTCCAATATACTAATAGTATTTGGTACTTACAATTAGCAATTTCTTTTGGTACTTATAAGATTTAGAAAATTAGAGCAGTAAATTATAACAGTAAAGGATTAAGTCTTAGATTACCACAGGTTGTTTTAAAATAAGCAAATTTTCTGTTAAATTAAATATGTCTACAGATGTAAATATAACACAAAATTTTATATCAGAATTTTTCATAAAATAGAAAGATGCCGAAAGGACCCTTTTGTTTGAATCGTTAGCTTTATATATCACATATGAAATGTAAGTCAATTATGTATATATAGATCTCTATAAATTTAAACTCGATAAACGTTTATTCCTATAACAGCAATGCACGCCGTAATTTTTCAGATCGTTGAATAGTTTTGTTAAAGAATTTTTACGATTGTATAACATGCGCAGCGAAATGATCTTGTATTCTCTTTCATCGTGCACAAAGTTGTGTAAATCAGAATTCCGTCTACAGAATTGTAACATTCGTGTTATAACGAATCATAAATTTTGTTCATAAGAAAGTTAAAAGGCATAAAAATATTAATGCTGTGTTCTAATCATTTTTCAAAGTTTCCAGTTTTTTAATATTTCCTACATATTTTGAGTTTCTTAATTTTAATAGTGATGGTAGTAGTAATAGTAATAATAATAGTAATAATAGTAGCAATAGTAGTAGAGTAGCAGTAGTAGAATAGAGGGGAAAAAAAAAGAAGAGAAAGAGAACATGCGATTATTTTTATCCATTAATTTATCAATCTAATTAGTTAATTTTATCCGTTTGTTGCATTTTTTATTTTAATGGATCACTTAATTATTAGTCTTTAAGACTGATTTCGACCAAACTTCAATTACATTAATCGATAATTAACTTATCAAGCAACAACTGTGTACTATTTCATTAATATAATAGAATTATTTTTAGTATATATAAATATATATTTTAATTGAGATTATCCTATTTATATATCGGTCTCAAAATGCAGCGTCTCAGCAGGATTTAAAAGCTGAGACACCTGAGACCAGCTGATTCAGTAGAATCGCGATGGCCGCCGTCGAGTGATGAATTCAATAGTGTGACAGGGAAGTTCGCTAGTTGGAGTAAATTGAAGTAAATGTCTAGCAAAACGAGCTAGTTGATTTATTTCGCGTAAGAAGAATGGCGGGATTAGAAGGCTACGGTGATGTGTACAGAGGCCGGCCTGTTAGATCGTGGGAGACAGCGGGGACGTCCTATCCACAGAGATACCACGGTCGAGAGGTTATCCGCCCTCTGGACATACCCGTTATTCATCCATTAGCAGAAGACAATCCACCGGTCGTCGACGACGGTAAATCGCCTTGTTTTATTCGCTGATCGACAGAAGTTTCGCGAAAAATATTTACTGATTAATTATCCTTAAACTAAGACTTAAACCTACTAGCAAACACCAACTAATAGTAACAATCACTATTAGTTGTTCAATTTCTTGTTCAATAATATAACTGTTACGTGTTATATAATTGTTATATGTTATATTATAGTTATATCATTGTTGAATGAGAAATTATAAGTTATGTTATTGTTAGTTGGTGTTTGCTGGATATATATTTAATTTATTTGACCATCTACTTGCAGATATCGCCGTGAGCAAGTACGTTGGATTAGGTTGCGGACTGGTGAGTTTGATCACAGGAAACCTGCTGATCCATCCCTTCGTGGTGTTACGAAGACAATGCCAAGTCAATCCGAGTGCGTCCAGGTATCATCTGATGCCCATAACTTTGGTACCCGTGATGATACGTTTGCACCAAACTCAAGGTATAAACACACTGTGGAAAGGAATCGGTTCGGTTTTACTTGTCAGAGGAATGACAATGGCCGTCGAGGATCTGATTTCGAAAATCACACCGTGGCAAAAGTAAGGCGATCATCAAACGGAATGGCTGACGTTTCATAAATTATTTGTGAAATTGTCTTCTCCTTAAAACTAGACACTTGATTTCAGGAAGATCAGTTACAACAATTCGATGAAAGCATTCGGTCAACATATACTCCTCAAATGGTAATTATTATATTAGAACGATTCACAAAAGTTATTAATGATCTATAATCTTTTATTTTACAGCATCTCCATAGGTATAGTCACTCCCTTTTATTCTGCGTCGCTCGTGGAAACTGTCCAATCCGAGATTGCTTCTGAATGTCCCGGAATCTTGGACGTTTTTCGAGACGGTGCAATCCGCCTACTTGATGTATGTAATAAGGGTAGACTCATTCCAATTTATGCCCTCGTACCACCCACCATAGTTTATGGAGTATCAAAATATCTTTTCACTCTCATTGTGAAAGGGGTTACTAGTCGGATTATGCACGTCAGGCATAAACATTCGCAAGAAGCAAAGGTATGTATCTGGTCTTAAATGGTTTAGGAAGTAAAGATGCAAAGAGATATATCTTTACACAGGAATGTTATACTATTTTAGGGTGCGTATAGTAAGGACCTGCTATCCGAGAGCGTCATCCAGGATATAGAAACACAGTCTATACTTGTTTCGATATGTGTGGCCGATATTGTGTTTTATCCTCTTGAAACTGTTATTCATCGATTACATCTTCAGGGAACGCGCACCATTATCGACAACTTGGACACTGGAAGAAGTGTCACGCCGTTATTGACTGGATATACCAGCGCGATCGATTGTTACCGCACAATACTCTCTACCGAAGGGCCACTTGGTTTGTACAAAGGATTCGGAGCCCTTATCTTACAATTCGCGGTACATTTCATGGTACTGCGCGCGACAAAGTGGCTCCTGACAGAACTGGGCACGATGTTGATGCCAAAACCTAAACCAATAAAGCTACAGAAATCTCCGTACTATGACGAGATATAAAGGAAACCTATAACAAAAAATGTAAGATAATACATAATTATTTATTATTTGTCTTTATTAACGATCAAATAAGACAAAGAATTGAATTTCTAACGAAAATAATTTCCAAGTACACTCTTCGATGATTTCAAACATTACAATATGTCGCAGATTAGAGAACTTTTATGCAGTTTCGTATGCAATTGATGATAAAATTTTTCGTATCTGCGCAACTGTGATCACGCAAATTTTCTATAATGTACGTTTTACAATTGATGCGAGTTATACTTAATAGGAGAGAAAATAGAAATCTACATAAAAATTCTTAGAATATTAATTATGAAATTTATGAGATATCGACAATATTTGTAGATAGTCATTCTCAACATAGCAATTTTCAATAAGTACTTTTTACACCCGATAAAATGTAATTATGTGATGTGATTTATGTGACTTTATTAGATTACTGTATCGATATGTTGTAGTTTGTTTATGAGATAAATAAAAATCACAGTATATACTGCAATTGCATATTACTGTTTATTACAAATACAAAACTACTCTCTATAGAACATTAAATCACTGTAAAATAATTAGGAAAAAATTCTATGTGAGTATCTTAACTCCTTGTTATATTTTGCAGTCTGGTATATTCTTTCTTCCTTTGTATAGTTTTAATCAGTAAGTATAAATTAGCGGATGTATATACTCTGTGATTAGATTGATAGAACTATTTTTTCAATTTGCACATCATTCAAATATCTTCCTTTTTACGAACCTTTTATGAACCTTTTATAATCCTCCCTAAAACAGAAAAAATATATGTATAAAGGAGAGAGAGAGAGAGAGAGAGAGAG